CATAAGTGAATCAGAAGCCATCTCATGTAAGGAATGAGTGAACCATAAACTAAATTAAACTGTGCTGATGAAATACGTGGAGGTCTCTGTACTGACCCCTTTCAACAAGTATAGAAACTTGAAAGAACTGTACAGTTCTCTAAAGGCTTGCTTTGTATGGGTTCAGCTCCTGCCTCTTTTTCTCTGTTATATAGATCAGTACTAGTAAAGTCAAGGCAGCAAATGCTGACTGAAATCACTGTAGCTTTGACCTAAAGATTTTACTGGCGTCACACAGTTGGTTATTTACAATAACTTTTGCTGGCATCAGTAGCTGACCTTTTCCTACTGAGTACTCACTGAAAGCATGTACCAGGACAGGGCCTTTGGAACTGATTTATGCTTAAATTGTTTCCTGGCAGCACTGTTTACATATCAGAATCACCGTTTGATGTCTAACATTGAACTGTGGTTTGCTCCATGTTGTGCAACTAATGATGTTTGGTAAAATTCCCTTTGCTGCTCTAGTTGAGCTGGAATTCACATTTGCAGTCAGTTAAGTTACTCTTAGCATGCAAGATGATCTATGAATAAAAATAATACAGGGGAAAAAAAAATCCAGGTTGTAGAATTGTGCGCATCTTAATGGGATATGAATCTAGAAAATATTTGGTCAACCATGGCGGACAGAATCCAAAGAACTGTCCCTCAGTATCAACCAGTACCATATGAAAAGAAAGAGACAAAACTGGAAAAAATAACAGAAAAAGAACTTTTTTTAAGTGTTATATTACTTGGTCCGTTTAGAGTAGATGATTTGTTTGAACAGACTGTTCTTACTCTCAAGTCTTTGGTGCCTATTCACTGAGTGAGCAGTGAGTCTGACCCATCTGTGAAAGATCTGATCCATGTTTGTGATTTGCTTATGCCAACATGCTTGTGTGAACATTGTTGGCAATTTACCAGTGCCCGAGTGAGCACAAACAGACAACTAAACAGATTGGAACATTTGGTGGCTTCTTCATGTGGTCAAGCCTCTGAGTCCAAAATACAGGGATAAGAAGGGGAGGGGGATATGCCAAGTGCACAGAAGAGCATTCACACACTTGGTGGTGCCATAAAATATCTCAGGAAAGATATTTTGAATTTCTTTTGGAGAAGATGTGCGTTTGTTTGACATTCAATGCTTAGTTCCAGTGGGGAATAATACAAACTGTGTTTAATCCATGCAATGCAAGACCAAATTTATATTCAGGTCCTAAACATTTGGATTGATTGCAATTTTCAATATTATAATGACGTCTCTGCCTACATAGGGGAAAGCATTTGCTATCAAATCCAGCTTGTAAGAAAATTATATTGGACACTCCTTGACAAAACTTCACCTGTCAATCACAGAATTATTAAATTACAAAGGGAAGCTATTCAGCCCATCATGTCTATACTGGCTTACCAACTATCATTATGATTGAGTGCCATTCACTTGCCTTTTACCCATACCCTTGCAGATTGCTTCTTTTCAAATAATCAGCCAATGCCCTGATGAAGCCCTCAATTGATTTTGCCTCCACTACACTTCCAGATAGTCCATTCTAGGCCTGAAACATTCATTGTGTAATGATCTTTTCTCTCACATTCACATTCGCTGCATTTAGAAACCATTTTAAATCTTTGCCTTCTCGCTTTTGACCATTTACATGTGGAAACAGTTTCTCTCTATCTACTTCATGATTTTGAAAACTTCTCTCAGATGTCCTGTTAGCCTTCTTCTCTCCAATTTATCCTCAGAACTAGTTTCTCATCCTTGAAACCATTTTTGCAAATCTCTTCTTCACCTTCTCCAACAACCTTCCTATAGTTTGGCATCTGGAACCGTACACAAAACTCCAGCTGAGGACTAACAAGTATCTTGTATAGGTTCAGCATCACCTCCTTGTTCTTGTACTTATGCCTCTATGAATAAATTCCAGGATAACTGCATGCTTTATTAGTTACTCTATCCACCTACCCTACCCTATTAGTGATCTATGCATACATACACACATGTACGCTCCTGCACCCCTTTAAGTATGGTATCCCCTATTTTATATTGTCTATCCATATTTTTCCTACCAAAGTGCATTGCATCACACCTCTCTACACTGAAATGTATCTGCCACGTATCTGCCCATTCCACCAACTTGACTATGTTCTACACTGTCCTTCTCAGAGTTTACAATGTTTTCAAATTTTGTATCATGCACAAACTTCCAAACTGTCTCATACACATTAAGGTCTAGATCATTAATATAGGTCACGAAAAGCAAAGATCCCAATACTGAAACCTTCAGGAACTCCACAGCAAATCTTCCTCTGGTCTGAAAAATATCAATTGACCACTACTCTCTGCTTCCTATTACCTAGTCAGTGTTGCATCCACATTGTTACTGAGCCTCTTGCATCATCAGCTTTAAGTCTTCTCACAAGGCTATTGTGTGACATTTTATCAAATACCTTTAAAAAATGCATGTATCAACAGCATTTGACCTCATTGGCCCTTTCTGTTATTTCTTCAAAAACTCCAGCGAGTTATTAAAATATGATCTCACCATTGTAGATCCATGATGCCCCTTCTTAAACAACCCACCCATGTAGCCATTAATTCTATTCTGAATAATTGTTTCTAGAAGCGTTCTCACCACTGATGTTAAATTGACTAATTGCTGGGCTTACCCTAACAATGTTTTTTGAACAAGACTGTATGGTCTGCAATTCTCTAGCCCTTTGGCACCTCCCCAACTCCAGGGAAGACAGGCCGATTATGGCCAATGTCCCTGCAAATTCCACTCTAACTTCATTCAGTATCTTTGAATGCATCTCAGGGTCCTGGTGCCTTGTCAACATTATGTATTGATACTCTATTCAACACTTCCTCCAAATCAATCTTGATTCATACTAATGACAGAGCTTCTTCTGCAGTCACCATAGCCCAGGTAAAGACAGATGCAACAAATTCATTTAACACCTCAGCAGTGCCTCTTGCATCCAAGTGTAAATCCCCTTTACAGCTCTATTCAGCCTTACTCCTTCCCTTATCTCCTTTTTACTATTGCTGTATCTATGGAAGACTTTGGGCTTCCCATTACATTGACACCCAGTCTTTTACTCATAATTCCTCTTGATTCTCTAATGACTTTAACCTCTCCTCTGAATCTGATTATTTGTGTTTTTAAACTGTTATTTTCTACCTGATATCTGTTGTAAGTACAGCATTTCTATTTCTGTTTTCATCCAGGAAGCTCTGGATGTGTTTGCTCCCTTTTTCCCTTTTGTGGAAATAGATTTTGACTGTACCTGAACTATCTCTTTGAAGGTTGTCAATTATTCAGCTACAGTTTTCCAGTTAAACTTTTGTTCCACTCAATCTGGCCTGGCTCTGCTCTTGTTACTGGAGGTCAACTCTCCCCCATTTAATTATTCTTATTTGGATTGTACACCATCCTTTTCCACCATCATCCTAAACTTACCAACTCACTAAAAATAACCCTAAATGTTCTCCACACTGAGATTTGATCTACTCGGCCCAGCTCATTTTGAAAAACTCCAGTGAATTGTTTGAAACTTCTTTCATTCTGAAAATAGTAACGATAGTGAGTTGGAAATTCCTGCAACATAGTGTCGTTTTCCTCTTTCACAGCAAATGATTATGGTTTTTTTTTAGGTCTACAAAACTGACTCCTCAATAGCTTTCTTAAATGACTATTTCCTTCGCTGAAATCTACAGATATTTCACAATATCTGTAAGTTAAAATAACAGCAACATATTATTCATCATACATTTAAGTAATGCGTGCATGTTGAAAAATTATTTACTTAAATCCACAATCCATCAGGTAAGGATATCAATGAATGTTACACAATTTGCTTTCAGCAAATATGGTATCTAGAACGTTATTACGGATGGTAGTGCATGAAAGCTATGTGTGTTTTTGCCCAAAACCTGTACTTTGCTCTTCGGTTTGGTTGAAATTGAGAAACAAATACATCCACAATGTAGGAAGAGCAGTTTCTACAAGTTAGATAGAAAGTTCATCATTCAACCCATTATAATGGCAGAAATTATTGCTAGTGTAAATATGCTTATGGCATTCTTCTCTCAGACATGTTAATAAATTATTTAAAAAACCCACAAAGTATTGAGATTATCAGTTCACCCCAAGTTGATTTTTCAGAAGAAGAATTTGAATGTATTTATTTTGTCCCTCACCACCTCCTCATTTAAATTCTCGATGTTGCTGACAAAGATGATGTGTGGCTTCACAGTCATAAGCAGCAATCTAGTATCTTGCCAAGATGACATTCTTAATATAAGCTTGCATTATTCAATAATAGAGGACATTATAGTTAAGCCCGATCTAATCTTCAGCTGCTGCATGCAAAGATAGAGAGTTGGGATTTCCATAGGGTTTTCCAGACAGTCTGTTGAGATTTGGATGGAAGAGGTGTGAAAATTCTGGGGAAACCACTTAAATAATTGAGATTACACTAAAGCCAACAAAAGTGTCTGCTCATAAGCTTCCAGCAGATCAATGGAAAGGCACTAGAACCATGAACTCTGATGTGACTTTCCCCTACTGAGGGCAATGATACTGCTAAAGCCTGGATCTTCCTCACTATTTATGATCATGGATCACATTGGATGCATTAATCAACTGAGATATCAGGACGTTTGTTAAATTTGTCATTTACTACCAATAACACAGTTATGTACGCTTTTGTTTTTGGTTTGCAAATTCAGTGCTAAATTAACAAGGGTAAGAAAGAAAAATGAAAACCAAAAACAAAACTGTTTTTCTCTCCCTAAAATAACTGCATCAATAAAGATAAAACCACAAACAGATCATTAACATTCAAATTTAGTGTCACTCATATTCCATGATATTAGTACCATTACAGGCCCATTACAAACAGCACTTAGTAAGATTTTGGTGAATTTTCTGCTCAAGCACAAATAAGATCACAGTGAATGACTGAGTACATACTTTCTCTGCTCCTTTCCTTATTTCGAAGAAACAAAAGATGCTGTTCCTGTAGTTGTCGCCCAAACTCTTGTTCCTGGCGCTTCTTCTCCAGTTTGCGTTCCTGCTCCAGAAGCTCCTGCTGGTGTTGCATAGCTAGCAGTTCCTGTTGTTGCTTTCAAACAAATGCAATTCTTAGGACAAAAATATTGCACAGTAACCTGTCAGTTTCACAACTGTCTCATGATTGACTATCCAATGAGATAATATAAACTGCTAAGTTTCTAAACTCAACTAGAAGCTGCTAAGTTCAGGTGCAAGGCTGCCAGTCACCCAGACTCCGTTTGCCTTGGCATGTCAAGCTTCACTGTTTGGCCACAAGATGGAGCACAAACAACTGATCCATGCTGGAATGCAAGAATAAAGACCTCCGAAATGCATTTGCTGCTATTACAAAAAGCCCACAGCCAATTGCCTCACCTTCCCAGATTGACTAGATGTAGATGCCTGGATATCCATAGAATCATGAAGACTCCAGGAGTATCTCAAAATGACAGGTGAAACCTCCTCCTGGAAGACCTGCTCCTGGTTTCTGTTAGATCCTACTTTCATCGGGTGGGATGATGAGAATGAAAACGGAATGTGAATCCCGGGTGCGGAAATCCCAACAAGTTCAAACGATCTTTTGCTATTTTTGCTGGAACAAAGTCTTATCATTGTGGGTGTTATCTTTGAAGGAGTCTTGAATGCTCTTCAAAGGTGAATAAGGACTGGGGAACTGTCAAGCTGTCAAGTTATTCCAACAATCAGCCCTTTGAAAATTAAAAAAAAACTGTCTACTGCCTTTGAGAGTTTAAAGCAAAACTGTTCCAGCACTTTCAATAGCTATTTGTTCACATAACCTTAAGTGTTATCATTATGGCATTATCAAAGCTTGTCTGCTGGGGGTCATTAGTTGGTGCCACATTGGCATAGTGCCAACAAGGGGCCATTTGGGATGGGTGGAGGCCATGTATTGGCATAGAAGATTTGAGGGGTCATTGGAGGTGGGTGGGGGAACCATGTGTTGGCATGAATTTGCAAGTAGTGTTGACAGAATGATGATGGTATGAGAGAGGTGAGAAATAGTGGGTTTAACATTTAACATAGTGACTGAGACAAAGTCCTGGAGTATCAAGTTAGATCTTTTAACCTGCCCACCAAAGTACTGGGCAGCCCTGTGGCTGCCTCTGATCTATGTCCAGCGGCAATGGGCCTGCACTTGTCCCTCCAGAGTGAAGGCTCTCCTACTGAGGGCACATTATCATTATGTGGGTGTGCAGACATAGGAAATTTCCTGAATCAGGCTGTTTGACTTGGGAGCAAATATCCAGACCAAAGTCTTTTGCTTTAAAGCAGAGGAACAAAACGGGAGAAAGTCACATACCAGTTAAACTTTAGTCATAAACTACCTCGATTGTTCTATATCACAGTTCTTTGGTTTTAACTCAATATAAAGGTAAGTGAACATGACTGAAAGAATAAAAACTGAAAGAACTGTGGATGCTATAAATCAGAAACAAATCTAGAAAATGCTGGAAAAGCTCAGCAGGTCTGGCAGCATCTGTGGAGAGAAATCAGAGTTAATGTATCAGGTTGAACGACCTTTCCTTAGAACTGAAACCAAATGACCGCATGAGATACTTTCTCTGGTGCCACGCAGGAGTCCTGAATCAGTGCATTTTCTGACAATGAGTAATTATATGCATTCATTCTGCTGTAGACACTTCCAACAGTTGGAGTTGAGTTCTGTAGAAACCTGTCTATTTCATTGATTCTGTAAACTGGCACAGAGAAGATGCAAAATAGGGAATTTTAGACTAAGATACGCAAGTTGGTATTCTTTTCTTTGAATTAAATAAAAATAAATATCGGTCAGTTTTAAATAATGTGCAGGGAATCAGAAAATATTGTTTTACCATTGGATGTCAAGTTAAAATCTACCTTAATACATCATAATATCAAAATTATCAGTTGGAGAACTCACATTTTTGACCATAGTATTGAATTCAATCCCTGATTAATCTCCCTTGTATCCTGTCAGTTAGAAGCTTTAGATAAGGGGTGCAGTATTAAATTGTTATCATAGGGCATCCTAGTACCAAAATACCAAAGTATGAGGAAAGGATGTTGCAATAATAAAATAAGTCTGACCTTAAGTAATATTGGAAACAACTGAACTTCTTTACAATGCTGTCAGCCTGCAGTTATGTCAAGGATTTTAATACGATTGCTTCAAAGGTGACATTGCTGACCACAAAAGACAGTAACTGTAGTGAAATAGCATTGAACAGTGAAGATTGATCAATTGGGATGGAGCACACAATGAATTTTTCAGCAAAGTTTATCTCAGCGTCTGGGTTGAGAATAGATCATTCAAAACAAGTCACGTATCACTAATGGTAGGCACACACAGTCTTGAGTTTTCATTTTTCCACTCAGGAATGTCAATGCAAACCCACGGCTGTCTCCACAGTTACTTGAGGTCTTTTTTTGGTCAGGGCTGCTTAGGCAGCACGTGCTCTTTATAGGATCATCAGCAAGAAAGTGGAAGACCGTTACAGACAACTTGGAAAATTGGGCAGTGTTACTGCAGCTCCTGAAGAGGGAGATATCAGCTTAAAATAGACACAAAGCCCAGAGTAATTGTAATCACAGGTAGGTTGTGGGGCAGAACTGCTTTGCCTTTCAAAGTGAGTATCATTTGGTCAGCCACCTTTAGCCCACAGGCTTCAGTGTTCCCCTCCTATCAATTCAAGGGAGTGGCAAGAACAAGAGGGAAAAGTGATGGAAGTAGTCATCGAAATCCTGTTGTGCCACTATGCTGTCTGATTTGAAACAGAATATCACAGAGAAATCAAAGCCATAGTGTACTTGTTCTGATTAAGAATTCAACAATGTCATGACACAAAGCACAGCCTAAGGATCTTCTGACTGTGGTATTTTGTGTTGATACATTAAAGAATTCAAATGTGAAAGTCTGACACAATGGAATTTTACTCAGCTATTTAGATGATTAAGCTTTCTCATTTAGATACACATATGTAATAAGATATATTGATTCACCTCAGACAGCATTAAAGATTTAAAATATTGTGGTGCTTATCACTCCAGTTATGTGCAGTGCACATTGCTTGGGTTTGATGTGTTTAAGCTGTGGTACCTTGAGATGTTCCTGAAGCTGGACTTGGTGCTGTCTCATGAGGGTTTCATGTTGTTTCTGGAACTCAGCAAAGAGAAGCTGTTTCTGAATCTGCTGTTGCTGCTGCAGCAGGAGGAGCTCTTGCTGTAACTGGTGTTCTCTTGTGACAGGGTCCACAGCTGGCATGCTGATCCGCAGGTCTGTTCGTAAGTCTATCGGAGCAGTTGGTTGAAGTGCCATGGGGAGTGCCGAGCTGACTTCAACTATTCAATTAAAAAGAGAATCAACTTTCATTTCTTTCATTGCCTTTAGAAATCTATTATTTTTCTATTCATTAATTTCCATTTGTTTTCAATGCCCTTTCCCTTCATGTCATCTGTCAAGGTGAAGTTGCCATGCCCAACTTTAATGCCATTGTCAGATCAACAGGGAGGAGGCAGCACATAGGGCACTTTAAATGGCACAGTTTGATTCATATTTATACAGTGCTTGTTATGGCTTCTGGATTTCTAAACATGCATTACAAGCTCCAAAATACTTTTCTAGTGAAATAAGATAAATTTAACAGCCAATTTGAGCACGGCAAACTCCCACAAATCACCAAATAATTTTTTTACGTGATGTTGATTGAAGGATAAATATTGGCCAAGTCACCAAAAAAACTCCCTTGTTCTTCAAAATATGAGATCTTTTACATCCTCCCAAGCAGGTAGCTGGGGCTTTGATTTCACATCATGCCCTAAAGACGGGGAGTATAGAATATTTAAAGACTCGCATTTGGGTAGTTAGTACCTTTTGCAAAATCAGGTTATCCAAAATGCTTTTCATAGCCAGTGAAATAGCTTTGCAGTCACTGATATGACGGAGTGAAAGGAATCACCAATTCACACACAGCAAGGCTCTACCAACAGCAATGTAACAATAACCAGATTTTAATAATGCTGGTTGAGGAATTGGCCAAGACAATGGAAAGCATTTCTGTGCAAGTCAATGGAAGTAAAAATCAGAAGAGATATAAAATGGGCTGCTGCTTTTCATTATCACACAAAGTCAAGATCTGTCCCATGAACTTTTTTTAATGCATTCATGGGAATTGCCCAGAGGTTGGTTAAGAGTCAACCACATTGCTGAAAGTCTGGAAAAACCATATTTTTAAAAGCAAAATATTTTCCTATTAAGTATACTGGGGCAGATTTGTAACTTCACTATCTGGAAAGGAGGTAGGACAGAGGGGATATGTCAGAGTGAATTGTGCAAGTACTAAACTGTGTGTGCAATTTTTATTCCATTGTTTTCAATAACAGGCCATTGAAGCCACCATTCGAGACCCAGCAATGAAAGAGCAACACTCAGCAACTTACCGACCGGTCTTACCATCACCGCCAAAATACCACTTACAAAGCAGCTTCCATTTGCTTCACTGGGAGAAAATAATTAAACAACGGAATTGTTCTAGCGCTTATGACAAAACTGAAATTTCAAAATAGAACTATGTATTAAAGAAAACTGCTGAGTCCAGGATTGTAACCCTTGTGAGGAATGGTTGAGTCTTAACTTTTTCTGTGCAACTAGAAATATGCAATAAATGCTGGCTTAACCACCAATGTCCACATCCCTTGAACAAAGATTTAAAAAGTATATTTATTGGAGATAGTTGGAGGTGGGGATATTTTAACCACTGGGGGTCACAAACATGTTCCACTTGGTGGGTGGCTGTCAGCTTAGTTAAGTCTACTGAAGGGACTCTCACGAATGGTTAGGATGGGGAGGACAGCATGACAAATGTCCAGGGCAACAGTGGCCTAAATTTTCCTTTATGGTTCCCAAAATAGTAGTCTTAATCCTGGTTCAGCAGAAGATAATGTAAGGCTTATTTTAGAGACATTTTCTTCTTCCTGGTTGGCTCTGACTCTATTTCCTGCCCAGGCTGAGGTTAATACTACAGGCAGCTTCACACAAGTAAATTGATCCCAATCTGCATGATTAGAGAAGGACCCTCCTGACATCAGGCAGTCAGTTTAGCTGGTCATCTGACTATTCAGGATCTCAGTAACCTCAGATGTTTAAAACATGCATCTACCCAGTCCCAACTGAATAAGGTAAAGTTAAAATTGCCCTAAGAGAAAAAAAAAGACAAAGAATTTGCCTTACATCTGGACAAAATAGGTCTCTCAATCAACATCAAGAAAAGAGATTTACTGTTCTGCAGAATTGTTGTAACATTCTGTGAAAATTAGGTGAGGCTAATAGATGACAAAGCAGGAATTTTCTAACAGAGAATACAAGAGAATACATAGAAGAGATACTTCACAAGCATTTTGTCCTGTTTACACAGTGGCCTCAGAGGACAGAAGGAAAACAATTTTAAAAACATTAAAAAGGGAACATTATTTAAAGGACTAATGGCACTTAACTTTGCTAAGTCACCGAATAAATGAAGTACTATGGGATACTATTAATTAAATTGCAAACATTATTGGGGAAAAGGGCAGGCATTAACTTTCATAACAATAGTCACTTATCTTCAAATGGAAATTCTTTGTGTGTGTAATTCCAAGTGATATTTTTAATTGACTTGTACAAAATGCAGCCCTTTCATTCTAACGCTCAGAAATCTACGGGGCTGCATTCCCTGTCAGGTTCCAAGTGATCCCACAGTTCAGGAAAAATAAAGTGCCAAAGTGCATCAGTGAATTTTCCACAGTGACTGTGAATATTTGGTCACCTGCATTATATTCCACCAGACTGTATGGGCTTTCAAGGTAAATTTCTGGACTCCATTGTACTGTTTTAGCCAAGGCATTGGTGGGGTCAGTGAAATTAGGTTGTGCTACAAAGGGGAGTAATTGTTCCAACATATGAAAGATGGTTAGTTAAATAAGGCATAGGAAAGGTAGGGAGTCATGTAGCACAATGGTAATGTCCCTACCTCCAGGCCAGAAGCTCCACATTTGAGTCCTATGCTAGGGCTTTTTGGTCAAGGAAGGTGCATTCTTAACATTCAAAATGGTAGATTTTCAACTTCCCTTCCAATATGTCTGATGGCAGGTGGTATGAACAGGAGAGTCTCCTGGCCAATCCACCTGCAGAACACACTGGCAAACTACTGAAGTACTTAGCCTGTAAATCTAGACCAATCCAATGAGAGTCTGTGGTTCAACCACTGGGGAACAAGGACAGGAGAAACAACAGACAGGAATGTTCCTGGAAAGCAGAGAAACTGTACCTCAGAAATAATCACCACCTTCCTGTGAGTTGGGGAAAAATTGATCCAAAATAGGAAGATAGTGGAGTATAAATCAAAAGAAACAATTAAAATTTTCCATTGCAGCAAAATATTAATTTGAACATTGGAACAGTGCAGGAAACATAGAAACTAGGAGCAGGAGTAAGATATTTGGTCCATCAAGTTTGTTCCACAATACTACATGATCATGGATGATATCCAACTTTTACCTCTGCTCCTACTTTCTCCCAGTCCCTTAGGTCCCTTTATCCCTAAAAAATAAATAGAACACCTTCTTGAAAACATTCAATGTTTTGGTCTCAACCACTTTCTGTGGCATAGAAACCACAGGCTCACCACTCTCTGATAAAGAAATTTCTCATCATCTCAGTCTGAAAATGGCCTAACACATATCCATAGATTGTGACCCCTGGTTCTAGACTTCCTGGTCATCAGGAACATCCTTTCTGCATTGACCCTGTCTGGTCCTGTTTGAATTGTACAGGTTTCAATGAAATTTCCCTCTCATTCTTCTCAACTCCAGTAAATATAAACTTAAGCATCTCTCTTCGACTGTCAGTTCTGCCATCTCAGGAATCCATATGGCAAATCTTTGTTGCACTCCCTCCATAGCAAGAACACCCTTCCTCGGATAAGGAGAACAGAACTGAACACAATACTCCAGGTGTGGTCTCACCAAGACCCTGTACAGTTACAGCAAGACATCCCTGCTCCTGCGCTTGAATCCTCTTGCTATGAAAGTCAACATACCACTTGCCTTTTTTACCATCTGCTGCATGTACCTGCTTAAAAGTACAATTTCCAGCTAATCATGAAAAGTGATTCATTCTGTTAACAAGATTTTGTGATAAATAGCTTATTTAATTACCAGGAACTGGCTGTACTGTAATGAATACAAATCCTGCTTTAAAAGGAAAGGTTTTCAAGAAAAAAGGGTGATCAAACTCCTTCTCCATTTGTACACAAGAAACAGCCAATTGTCAAATTGTTATGCAGTTATTGTGCCTAACTAATCCAATAATACCTTGAATACAGTTTTATTTTCAGTAATGGCATTGTGTTTGTAAACACTATTAAAGATTTGCAGACATTTTTTGAGCACTGTTTTTACAAAGTTAGCTTTTAAAACAAATTTGTGCCTTGTCATTCAACATTGAATTTCATTGTTTGGGTACAGTACTGATGGCTTTTGGAAGCACACAGCAAGCATATCCTGAAGGCTGGTTATCCCACAGGTCTGTAGACCATACAGATCAGTGAAAATGAGTCCAGATATTCAACCTTTTGAGGACTGGATTTTCTTTTGCAGCTTTACAATTTTGCACCTGTTTTTGGCTACACCACATCTGCAATAATTTTTTTTGCTGTAAATCTGCAACAATGAACAAGGCCTCATTCTGCCTGGCCTGTGGCAGTGATCCTGCTCTCCTATGGGATCGTTTTAAGGTTAGTTTGACAGTTCTTGGATCACCATTAAACTCTACTGTAATGTGGGATTAAGATATCTAGTTTGAACATCCCGCTGACAAAAGAAACGTTGTATTATCACATAGATGGAATGTCATCAATGTTGTGATCCTGTACTATTAAGGTTATTGATGCCATGACCCAATGAAATATGACCACTACGTTGAAAAAAATCATTCTAATTCTCCTCAATACGTTTCACTTTTATAGGAATGTAATTGGGAAAAGCAGCACTTTAGTGAGCCAGCCTCAGCCTAGGGCAAGTCTGTGCGCAGAATTTGTCTTGAGATTTAGCAGTCTCTTGAGTAATACAGGACTCAAAAAAAACTGCAAATCTCTTAGAATGCTTCCTTCAGGAAGTGCTAGTAAAAAATAAGTCCTCAAGGATTTCATTAGACAACAAGAATTTTAATTTTGCCCTCAAAAGAAGTGAATATATAAGAAAAACCACACTTAGTAATGTCCAGAAAATGCACATTCAAGATCACTTTGTACCAGCTCTTGAATAAAATTCATTTTAATTGACTGTCAGATATAACTATATAACCT